AACCTTTGAAGTGTCACATACACATAAGCCATTGTCCTCCTACTCTGAACCAATCCTGGAAACCCTCCTGAGGAGCCCCACTGTCTGCCATTGACCTAGTAGCCAGATTTTAAATGCATGCAACATGTATATGAGAAAAGTAATGCTGGCTTTAATACCTACCACAGTGGGTTAGATTAATTCCCTGGCTATAGTAGCTCAATCATTTCTCATACACTGATTGACCAAAGGCACTTTGGCAGTAAATTGCCATATCATCTAATACTACAAAGCAGGTGTTCATCATACCTGCTAAAGAACAAAACAACTCCCTGGAGCTGTACAGAGATTGAGGCCAAAAGGATAAAGTGTGGGATCCTGGACTGTTTCATGCCCTGTTGATGTCTCAGGAGGAGGTGGTCATGCAGTGGTGCTAAATGCCAGAATGGGATAATTTTGTATCACTTGGAGAAGACCATCTGGCTGCTCACCAGCTGTCCTGCCTAGCACCAGATGTAGAGTCTCCATTTATATGATAACCCAGAACATTAGTAAGAGAAGAGCCGCACAAGTCATCAAAATCAACCTCCCTTCAATTTGCAGGTGGAAGAACCAGACCCAAGGGGAATACTGCCCAACTAGAGAACAGCAGAAGCACATAAAATTGGGTTACCAGTCCACTGCTCCCATCGCACTGTGATGCTGGGTCCCTGTAAAATATGTACAGATGGTCTTTTTCCAAAGGAAGGAAATAGAGCTATAGCAATCAGAGGCATATACTTGGGACAGGGTCTTGGTCTGTTTCAGCCCCAGGTATATAAGCTGTGTGAGCACAGGCAAAGTGTTTGACTTCTCTGTCTTCAGTTTTCTCATTTATAAAGTAGAAATAGCAATAGTGGATATATTGTAGAGTTGTTTTGATGATTAAGTTAAAATATGTTTAGCACTTAGAACCATGCTTCCAAATAGACATCACAACATAAATGTGCTATCATTATTATCTTCAGCAAGCTGAACTGACTAAATTACTTAGTAGGCACTTGGTAGATAAGAGTATTTCCACTCTTTGAAGCACTCCATAGAAGTGGAATGTGGCAGGAACCCTCCACATAATCAGTGCTGAGTATCTTTCCCACACTACCTAGAATAGGCACTTATCCAGCCAGGAGTCTGCTTTCTCTTCTCTCCTGCCTCACTCTTACATTTTGCTTTCTTTGTTTATTTTTCATGTCCTTTGTCTTTAGTTGTATTCAACCTTGTGCTGATAGCATTCCATTTCCAGAAATGCTAACTCCACTGGCTGAACCTATAATAAAGCAATTCCTATGCTAGGGACCACTACTTCTCTAGTATAAAACACAAGTTGCAATTGTTTCTCAAGTTAATATAAAGCACTAGATTACATATATACACACATACATATATGTCATATAGATAAATATTGAAAGTTATTTTAAGGAAAAGTGTACATGTATGTATACCCCTATAGCCATGTAGTCTACATCCATGGATTTGTCCAGCAGTGGATAGAAAATATTATTTCTGCATGGAATATATTCATACTCTTTTCCTGTCATTATTCCCTAAAAAGTGTAGAGAAACAATTATTTATATAGCATTTACATTGTATTAGCTAGCATAAGTCATCTAGAGATTATTTTAAAATACAGTGGGGTGTTATGTGTGTTTGATGCAAATATTACACCATTTTATATAAAGATTTGAGAATCTAGATTTTTGTTTCTACAGAGTATCTAGAAACCAATACCCCAGAAGATAATAAAGTATGCACATATATGCATATCATATATATTTATATGTATATGTGTATATATAGTATAGATACTCATAGAAATGTCAGCCTTACAAATCTGTACCACTTATTTCTTTATAAAGCTTTACCATCCATCTTTTGCAGAAGACAATAGGAGAATTATCTTGTGTGTCAACCTGAGCATTCAAACCTAGTACACTTTCCAGGACAATATGATTCCATAGGATGTGTTTCTGGACTTCTGCAGGCCTGAGAATTAGGCTAATTTCTACAAATGCTTGTGGTTCCTCTATAGAACTATAGCATTGTGCCAAAACATGAACCCTGCTCTTGTTCATGAATAATCTATAGCAAAAGTGCAGAGAAAGATAAGCCAGACTTGACACTATCAAGTAAATATGACTTTAGTTTGTAGGAACGCTGTGTTCATTCTAAGTCAGAGGGTAAAAAAAAAGTGTGTGTTGAAATCCTTGATATAGAAACAGTTGTATGCTCCTTGTAGAAGAGAGAGGTCTAGATTTTGCAAATGAAAGGTTTGCTTCAGTCCCCTCTCATGCAAGGCATAGATCTGTGCCATGCCATATACTTCACAGGCAAGCCAAATGACTTGAGTATAGTCTAAGCAGACCCTGTACTATCTTACTTCTTAAAAATCTTAATTTTCTAGTAGGTTATCAAAGAGGCAGTAAAATCCAGGCTTGAGCTGGCAGAATAGGCATGCCATTTTGTCTGCATCTCCTTCCCTTTGTCACTGGTCCTTCAGAATTGTGTCTCCACGGCTTTTAATCCTTTGGCAATATACAATTTTTCTTCCCCAGCATACACTCTGTTTCTAAGCTCCCGGCTGGCCTCGCATATGACCTGGATTCTTGCTAATCAAGGTGATGGAGGAACACAGAGATAGAGTTAGGCCGCATATTCCTTGAACCCTTGTAGATTAGGACAATCCCAGCTCACAGGATTAGTCTTCCTGAGACATAGGGAGGACAAAGAAAAGAATACCACCCAGGATTCTGTGGTCACATTTCCCAGTGGACCATGAATGATTTATGAGGGATGTGGGGGAGGACCCAAGGGAGGGCAGAAGGAAGAAAGAAATAAAGGAGAATTCCTTGAGGCTGATCCAGCAGGGGATCATCAGTTCCAGGAATGCCAAGCCTTTCTTCTCGCCATGGGAGAGGCAGCACTGATGGCTAGGGTGGACCCAGTCACACCCCTGGAAACCCGCATGGACAATTACTCACCCTTTCTCAGGAGTGTGAGGGACCCTCCACAACACCTAAATTATACATGTTCATAATGAAGAGTCTGCCATGTATACTCCCTGACATTTGTTGCCCACAAAATATCTCCATCCCTCTCTTCTTTCCACTTTCACTGCTTCTCACCCATCTGGACTCTTTTTTCCCCTATGCCTATCTTTTCCCTGCCCATCCCAGGATCTACTGGATTCCATTTCTATGACAGGAGACAATTAGAGGCACATAAAGGGCCATCATGTTTACCTCACCATGGAGCCTGACTGTTGCCCTGTCCTTTGGGTCCAACAGCCTAAATGATCATCCTCGGTTCTACACATTTATTCTCTTAAACCTTTGCTGTTCAGAGCAGGTGGTACTAGTCCAGGCATGCTAATGCCTTGACCCCTTGAGTTTCAAAATTCTCCTAATGTGCACTTTCCATTTATGTAGATTTGGAAGGGTTAGTGTGGAGTGGGTGGAACTTGGGGGAATGCTCCCAGAGAAGCATGCCTGTGCATTTGCTTGTCAGGGAATGCATATGGTGTTCTTTGGGTACATGCTAATGGGTCTGTCTCTCTTTCCCCTACACAGGGCCTGGAGCAGTCATTGATGGTGTAAACTCGGCCTCTAGAGCACTGGCTTGTCTCTGGCTCTCAGGGACCCTCTTTGCTCACTTCTTCATCAAGTTTTGATAAGAAACCATAGGTCCTCTGAGCAACGTCTGCTTCTCCATATCACAGACTTTAATCTACACTGCGGAGGGCAAACCAGTTTGGGCTTTTTGTTTGTTTCTGTTCTCCTTCTTGATTTTTTTGGGGTATTCTGATTTTGAGTTTTTTCCAGCTGGAATTAGTGGGGTTGGGGGGAGGGGTGGGCAGGGTTCTACCATGTGTAGGATAATCATTCATTGGTGTGTCCAAAAATGGAATCTGCTCCTGCTATTTTGGCCCTTCCTTTTCCTCTACTTCTCTTCCCATTATCATTACCACCAATCTACACACACACACACACACACACACACACACACACACACACACACA